CTTGGCTTTTTAACTGTTTGGAACCAGCTCTCTAAATAGCTTGGCATGCTCCATCGGACAGCTTAGTTTTCATCGGTGTTGGAATAGCGAATGACTTTTCTTGGGCTTTTTTGGATTGCCCATTGTGCCTTGTTCAGTAACTGGGCCAATACATTGTAGGCCCAGCTGTACCCAATGACTCTTACTTTCTCCGTGGTCCACAGTGTGCCAGGTCCTTCGTAGGCATCCTGTTTCACCTCATCTATCCATGCCCAGCTGGACCAGAATGAGTGGGCCACTGTTTTCCCAAACTCACGTCTCACTTTTTGCCTCTGCAATTTGATCATGTTCTTCTACATTCCTTTATTGATTCAATAAATATTTATTGAGCCCTTTACTTCCAGCCAGGTGCTGGGAATGTAAGGGCAAACAGGAAAGACAACATCTTTTCCTGTAGTTTACAGTTATTGGAGCTTACAGGGTTTTTTTAAAATTTTTTTTTAAAAAGTTATGATCATTTGTATTTGCCTGCATGTATGTCTGTGTGAGTCTGTCAGAAGCCCTGGAACTGGAGCTACAGACAGTTGTGAGCCATGTGGGTGCTGGGATTTAAACATGGGTCTTTTGGAAGAGCAGCCAGTGTTCTTAACCACCGAGCCTTCTCTCCAATCCCAGGAACGTACATCTTTTAATTGCAGGAGGAGATGGGTAAAAAAGACACCTGTAAAAAAACAAAAACAAAACAACAACAACAAAAAAAACCCAAAAATCTGAACAAGACAGTTTTCCACAGTTTTAAGTATGCCAAAGTGAAATATCTCAGTTATGTGAAGTGGGGTCTGGGCGTGTTGGTGGCAGAGGATGTGAGCCAGTCCAGGTGGGAACATAAAGGACCGGGTTCAAGGAAGGCTTTCAAAGATTCTTTTCCTCCCGCGAGCAGCAGTGTGAGGCTCATTCACACCAGAAGTGTTTCTGAGCCTGAGCAAGTGCAGACGCCTCCCGCGGAATGGCCTCAGTGTGCTGAAGAACAGAGCAGCCCTTGTGGCTGGGTGGTCAGCAGGGAGAGAGGTGGAGGCTGTGGGAGCCAGAGGCAAGCTCGGCTGTACTCCTAGGGCCGATGTTCTCTGGTGCGTGAGGTGAGGCAGCCCCTCTTCATAATCGAGGGGAGGGGGTCCCACAGATCCACAGCATTTGCCACACATCACCTAGGGATCTTGCCTGCTGCTAGCCGGCTAGCTTTTATCTCTCTGTTTTGTTTCTGCCTCTTGAAGGACAGCACTTCAATTGTCTAGCCAAGGAAGGTCAAGGCCAGAAAGGTAGAAGCCAGGAGCGGCCTGTCCTGTCTGCCGGGCTGCTGTAGGAGGAGGAAGTGAGTGTCAGTGAATAAACACGGCTGGCCTGGCCTGTGGAGTCTCTGAGCAAATTCTCCCAGATAAGACGAATTGCCTTCGGACTGTAAGATGACTAGGGGTTTTCCTCTCAGGATCCCAGTTTGTAGACTGCCAGCTGGCATGGCCCTCATAGTCCAGGCTCTGCTTACCTGGAGGTTCAGGTTGCTATTTTCATGCAGGGGATAGATCAAACCCAGAGCCAAACACACGTTATGACAGTGCTCTACCACTGAGCTGTTCAGACGGACATTAGAGTTTTGTTTTTCCCGAGACAGGGTTTCTCTGTGTAGCCCTGGCTGCCGTGGAACTCGGTGGACCATGCTGGCCTCAAACTGAGAAATCTGCTTCCTGAGTGCTGGGATTAAAGGCGTGCAGGGCAGCTGCCACCACTACCCTGCTGAGCCTAGCATTTTCTGAAGTCATGATATATTATCTGTGATGGAGACTGTCCCCAGACAGACCAGCCTCTGAAGGTATTGCTGTGTGCCAGAGACTGTGGCACGTGGGGTGATATCTTTTTCTCCCCAGGATCGTCTTTGGGTAGTGTATTAGACCTGTCTTACAGATTAAAAAAAAAAAATCAAAAAAACAAGAAACCCAGAGTGTCACAGATGGCGCTCATTGTCCCCAGGTCCCTGAAGGAAAGATAATGAAGCTGGTATTTGTAACTCCGCGTTTTGCTCAATTCTCTATGAAGCCACGACCCTGGAAGTAATCCTACCCAGCACTGCTAATATGTCCAGATAATGTTCCAGGGTGAACTTGTTTTAAACATTTATTGCTCGCAGGGCAGTGTGTGAGCTTGGGTTCTGTCTGCACCTGGCCTGCTCGGGCCAAAGGCACTTTCCCCAGCCTGGCTAGCTGTTGGGCAAGGAGCTCAGCAGCTCTAGATCGGTCCTGGTATTTCTAAGGTGGGGATAATGACAATCCCTACCTCACTGGGTGGTTAGGATTAACTAGGAACACACTTGAAAGGCTTATGGGAGCCTTGCATGTCGTAAGCCCTCAATTAATGGTCCCCTAATCTCAGGTGTCAGCTCAAATGCTGCCTGACCCCCAGGGATAGTGTGGGTACCGGCCCCCAGGTATTCAGCATTTCTTCTCTCTGCCCCCTTCTCTCATAGGTATTTCCCAGTGCTCAGCATGTGAGGTTCACCGGCTGATTCTTTCCCCGATGACAACGAGAACTTTCTATAGATGGCCTTTGTGTTCTGGATTCAGGCCCCAAGGTCGTGCCTGGCATGCAACTCACTGTTCAGTGGCTCTCTCTGTTCCTGACAGCCTTGAGATAGAACTTTTCATTCTGGACAAAGCAATCACCATTCTGCTTCCTCTGCATGTGCCCTGTGGATTGGTGTTCCACTGCCCCCCACCCCCCACCCCAAGGTTCAGATGGGATCGTGGTTAAGTCCTAAATGTGTACGTCTGACCTCTTCTCGTCTGCATTTCTAACTATCTTCGGGTGTTAGAAATTTTGTACAACTCTGTGAAAACGAACTCATGCCACTTCTTCCAAGTCAGCTCCTCTTCCGGTGCCTCAGGCTGGACTGGTGAAGTGGGCCTTCACCTACCTGCTTAGAAACCTGGGAGCCAATCTACATTCTCTTCTGGTTCGCTCTCAGCCTGCAGCTCCTCGGCCACCATGTTGTCGTCACTGCCTGTTCCAGAGAATCTTGTACCCAGGAGCCTGACCACATTTTGTTTACACAGTGACTCGGGAGGCAGATTCCTTCCATAGCAAATAAACAAGGTGAGGTTTTAGAGAAGTCAGAGGCTCACCTAACTGCCAGGCAACCCAGCGGCCTCCAAAGCTCCCAGGTAGCAGGCCTTAGTCTGGCATTAGTCTTGTCTCTTCAGGACTGCCATTCTTGGTCCCCCTTTTGCGTCTTTATGCCCTTGTGTAGTGAACCGTACCCGGCTGGGTCTGCTCCTGGCCCCTACCTTCATCCACTGCCCCACATGCCCAGCTACACCCAAGCCTTGCCAGTCTCTTGTTAGAAGACCCTCCACACGCTGGCAGGGTCCCACAATGTGCTTTCTTTCTGCTTAGTGGACTCTCTCTGGTCCTTCCACATTCGGCCTCTGCAGCAGCGTTCAGAGAGCATACCAGATTGCTACTCCCTGTCCGGGTTCCCCTTAGCGTTCTGAGCCATCATTCAAGAGAACATATATCTGAATCTGAGGAGGAGATGTGAACATTTACCCAAGAGCATCCTCCTGGAGATGATGAGATAGCTAAAGGGAACAGATCCAAGAAAATGTCCTTGCCTCTCCTTGGCCCGTGAGGCATCCAGTAAAGCCTTCTAAGGTCCAGAGCCATCTGTCTACACTTGGCATGCTGTCCAGTGTGCTCAGTTATTTGTTGAACGTATGAAGATGGTGAAGATTTTTCTGTTGTTAGTAGGTTTGGGTTTCTTTCTTATCTATCTATCTATCTATCTATCTATCTATCTATCTATCTATCTATCTATCTATCTATTTGAGGCAGGGTTTCTCTTTGTAACTGCCCTAGCTCTAGCTGTCCTGGAACTCGCTTTGTAGACCAGGCTGATCTTGAACTCACTGAGATCCGTCTCTGCTTCCCAAGTGCTGGGATTAAAGGCGTGCGTCACCACTGCCCAGCTATTAATTTATTCTTTTTTATTGAGACAAGGTCTTATGTATTTCAGGTGGCCTAAAACTGGCAATGGGGATGATCTTGAACTCTTGACTCTTCTGTCTCCCTGGTGCTGGGATAGCAGGTATATGTCACCACACCTGGCTTATTTAGGGCTGAGGATCTCAACCAGGGCCTCACGCATGCTGGGTCAGTACTGCTACCAGGAATCAGTATATAGCAGGAGACCCCCTTGTTTTGTTTTACTTCCTGGAGCGTTTCCCCCAGCCTCTGTGTCCTTATCTCTCATGGGATAATAGTAGCTTCTTGCAGGGCTTGGTGGCTGAGAAGATTACGGGAGTGAACTAAAGGAGGGAAGTCAGCAAACACAGGCCTGGCGAAGAGTCTTTGTCACAGGCACAAAATATGTGTGACTCATAGCTAAAAACAGGAACTGGGAAAGCAAGGTCCTATTCTACAATAACCTTAAAGTTAGGATTCCATTGGGGATTTTTTTTGTCTTTAAATACGTATTTTCATTTATGTGTATATGTTTGTGTCTGTGCATGGGTTTGTGCCCGTGACTACACTGTCTGTGAGCTTAGAGGCGGTTGTTAGCAGTCAGACGAGGGTACTGCTAGGAACCGATCACATTTCTCCAGACTCCCCTAACCTGGATTTTTAATTTTTATTTATTTATTTCCTTTAGGTAGGGACTCAGCTATATGCCCTGGTTGGCCTGGAACTTACTATGTAGACCAAGCTGGCCTGCAGCTCAGACTGACTCTGTTTCCTGTGTGCTGGATTAAAGGTGGGAGTCACTGCATCTCACATCTCCAGTTTCTCTTCAAAGAAAAAAGTTTTTGAGCTGGACATGGTGGCACATGCTTTTAATTCCAGCAGTTGGGAGGCAGAGGCAGGTGTATGAGTTAGGAACCAGCCTGGTCTATGTAGTGAGTTCTAGGCCGGCCACAAGGCTACATAGTGAGACCCTGTCTCAAAAAAAAAAAAAAAAAAAAAAGCTTCCATTTTTATATTTGCCTATTTTGTTGATGTACGTGGGGGGGGCACAATACCTGAAGGTTAGAGGACAATTTATCGGAGTCGGTGCTCTTTTCCCACCATGTAGGTGCCCAGGGACTAAACCGCCTTTTTTCAGGCTTGGCAGCAAGCACCTTTACCCACCGATTCATTCCACCAGCCCTCATGGGGGAGTCTAAGAGTTTAGCCAGCGGAAAATATTATTGGCACGTGCTTTGGTGTTCAAGGCCTCGCCGAAATATTAACCTCCGACTTTGCCCAAGCACTTCTCCGCTGGGCTGGTTCACCGCTAGTCAAATCCCAAGCCCACAGTGTGTGCCGGAATCACCTGGTGAGTATTTTACGGATTACTGGTCGCTGTCCCGAAACTCCTGAATCAGAATTCGGAATGATAAATGTACCCTTCCGAGCTGTGCCCCCGCGGCTTTCAGAGTCAGCAAGGTTGGGAGTCCAGGTCCACAGACCACTCAAGGAGCAGGCGCGCCACACGGAGAAACTTCTCAGCGTTTTTGATT